GGAAAGTAGTATGGAGGTTCCTCAAAAGACCCCACATAGAGTTGCCCTTTGACCCAGCAATCCCACTTTTGGGCATTTACCTGAATGATCACAAACCAAGACCATACTAAAGCTACCAGCACAACTACATTTATTGCAGCATTATTTACCATAGCTAAGATATGGAACCAACCCAGATGTCCCTCAGTAGATGAATGGATAAAGAAAATGTGGTATACATACACAAAGGAGACTGGATCTTGAGTCATCCTGTGCAGCCTAACCAAGTCCATCCTGGCTTGGGCACAGCACATCTAGCACCTATCAGCACCTAAATATTTAGTTCATATGTGCTTATACTTCTGTGCCACTGAGATTGTTGCCTTATTTGGGAGGGGGGGAAGTAGTCCTGGTGCCAAACTGTGTGCATGGACACTGGGCCTGCGCATCTTTCACTCACTTGAGACACAGTTGTGGTTAATTGGAGATAAGAGTCTCGTTTACTCTTTGGGCCTGCCTGACCTTGAACCATGATCCTCACATCTCAGCTTCCTAAGTAGCTAGTACTACAGGTTCAAGCCAACAGTGCCTACCTTGGCCATGTTATTTTAATGACAAATCAGGGATTCAATTGGAAAAATTCGCTTTTTACAAAGATCTTATATGTCTTTGAGTAACACCTAATACCTTTATTTCTCTCACCCCCTTTCATTTTTCCCTCCAAATTCTTTCCAAATACAACCTTATACAGAATTCCTCACCAGAAGTGATAAGGAGACATTCTCGTAATGCCTCATCAGTTCCCGCCCTCCCCAGGTGCCTTGCCCTCACCTTATTGGGTAAAGTCCTGTCAACTTCCTCTTGCAGCTTCTTTTGGACATCAGGGTGAAGGGCCAATAGATACATAGCAAAAGAAAGAGTGAGGCTGGTGGTCTCATAGCCAGCAAAAATAAAGATAATTGATTGGGCTGCTAGTTCCAGGTCAGAGAGACCTAAAGGAAAAGAAACATACATTTTAGGTCAATGAAGTCAGTACACAATGTCACAATCATGGTTTATAAGACCACTAATACCTAAGGATAAGACATAGAAAAGCAAGGTAATGTCACCTAGTCACCACATGTGACAAGAGCTAAAGAGACAAACTAAGTTCAATCCAGTTTCCAAAAGGTCTGCACTACCATTGCCCATTTTGTCTGTGTTCTCCATTTGTGCCACTTATATATATGTAGGTCATTTAAGAGACCATATTCTATCTAACAGGTGCCACCAGAGCAGTGTGACCCCATCTGTCTGATTGGGGGACATTGCATACACATATGGAAACAGCAAGACAAAACTCCTTTGTACAACTACTATGTCTTAATAACAATAGAAAGAAAAGAACATGGAGGAATCTTTTTCATTGAAACATATTCGAAGGATCTAAGGGAACCATAGGATCTAAGGGTGGAGAAATCAATAGGTTGCCAGGTTCAAGTGGCACATTCCTCTAATCCTTGCTACTCAGGAGGTTGAGAGTTGAGGATTGAAGTTTAAACCCAACCTAGATTCTCATCTCTAATTAACCACCAAAATGCCAGAAGTGGAAGTATGACTCAAGTGGTTGAATGTCAGTCTTGAGCAAAAAATCTAAAGGATTGTGCCCAGGCCCTGAGTTCAAGCCACAGGAGTGGACAAAAAAAGAAATCACTATAATAGGAAGTTAAGAGGTTATTCATATGTAGGTACAAGAGTATATGGGAAACCTTTCTGCATTTACCTCATTTGTCTATGAAGCTACAATTTCTCTAAAATACCAGCTACTTAAAAATATGGAGACCACATGAGACCACATGAAAGGGTTTTCAGTGAACAAACATGAGAGAAGTTGAATATCAAAATAAATGATGATACGAAGAGAGTAATTT